CCTTACTTTCCTAACCCCTGGACACATGCATTTTATGATTCAGCCATATATGCACAACTCTGGAAGATCAGCTTTGGGGAGCCCAGGAATCTTATATTCACACCATCATTCCAACAACACTTAGGGGCCTCCTGGAACATGCCAGGCTGTGCCTGGTGTTGAGAACAGCAGAAAGGTCTTGTCACCTGCTTCTGGGCTCCTGAGCTTCTGAGATGCCAGCCCACGAGGTGGACCTACCAGGCAGGAGGTCAAGAGGAGGTGACAGGGCAGAGAGGGGGCTGCTTCAGACCTGGAGAGTACAAAGGAGGGGACAGTACCACTCAGCATAGTGGACATAGGTGGAGTGAGAGAGAATCCAAGGCCATTTTTTGTGCCCTCGAGAGCCTGCTTACAGCAAGATACAGTTGTGCCATGGGCCACAGAGGCAGTCTACCCCAAACCCAGGTGGGGCAGCTTCTGCCTGCTGTGTTTGAGGAACTTGCCAGCTACAAAGTGGCAGATCAGCTTCCAAAGATAGTTGAGGGCTGAGGATCTGAAACTCGCTTTTGAAATCCCTGCTGCCTAGCTGGGAGGAAGGCAGGGAGATTCCACGCCCTGACCCTGGGGCCACCACTATGTGTGCTGTGCAGGTTGAGCCCCTCTGTATGGGCCAGACCTCTCTCTAGACCATGGGCTATATCCTCTAGACAAGAGCAGGAGTGCCAACACATGGTCCTGTACTCCTGGGAAGGCTCTCCTTGTCCTCCCTCCAGGATTCCTCTGCCTGTGTGGTCAGACATTCGTCCCATGCAGGGGGCAGACTGGTCACTTGCATGGTGTCAGTCAGGAGGGACAGTGCGCTGGATGGCTCTGGGCTCTGGTTAGGACAAGGGCTGGAGTGCTGCATCACATTGGCCCTGAGGGCACTGATGAATTCAGTGAGTCCCCAGATGCAAGGACACGTAAACTACACTTCTGTGAGTGGGTGTCAGGGCCTGCTAGTGAGCCAACTTCTGTGGTTGGAAGGTCACAGAGACCATCCTGGCCATGTCACCTGCTGATGTCACTACTGCCCCGGCCCCTAGATGCAACTTGGGAGGAAAGAGGTTGAAGGAGATTAGAGCAAGGGTGTGGGGGGACTTACCCAGTTCCTGGCACAAAGGAAGCCTCAATAAGAGGGCCTCCCTGGCCAGAATGCTGTGGTCTCCCTTATGTATGAGTTTGTTTGCTGTGGTCACTTATCCATGTCAGTCTCAGTTTAAAAATATTAAATAGAGAATTCTAGAAATAAATAATCCCTAAGTTGTAAATAACATGACATCCCAAGTAACACCATGAGGGCTCACTGGCCGACTCCTTCCCACCCAAGCCAAGTGTCCGTAGTCCAGTGGCCTCCTATGTCCACCCCCACCCTGTTACTTAGCTGCCCTCTCAGTGATCAGATTGACTGTCAGATCCAGTGTGAAGTCACCCTTATTTGCTTAAAGTTGGCCACATAGTGAGGAGTGGTGATGCTGCGTTTTAGTGAAAAGTTCTTGACTTCTAAGAAATGAAAACTTCTCAGTGTGCTGTATAATGAGGACCAGCCATCAGCACAAATCTGTCTATGAACCATGAAGCAGGGAATAGAAATGTGTGCTATGCAAAGTAGAAATGTGTGCATATGTTTTTGTTCCATCTAAAATGACCTACATCCTGTCCTCAGCCTGTGTGTGTGCTTATGAAGGTGGGAAGGGCCTTGGCTTTTGGCTCAGTATCATGGGAGGCTGTGGGGTGTCCTGAGGGCTGTAGACTGCACCCTGGCTCTGGGAGAGACTGTGATGTGGGGAGATAGGAGGAACCAGCAGGAGAGGCCAGCCAGGTTGAGAATGTCTGAGTCACCCTACTTGAAGGAAGCCGGGAGGATGGGAAGCCTCACCTTCCATAGTGTGAGAGGAGGTATGTTGTGGCCAGTTGTACATGAGGTCCATGCGGTCCTGAGCTGGACAAGCCCACTGTCCAGAGGGAAGAAGGTGGGCAGCTAATTCCCTTCCCAAGAGCAGGGCAGAGGCCTGGGGGATGGTGGCTCTGCTGCTGTCTTGCTGGGTGACCTTGAACAATGTGCCTCACCTCCGCCTTCTCAGCTGTGTAATGGGGTTGCAGGATCCTTGCCTATGACAATGCAGTGACAGCTGGATATGGGGGTTCAAAGGAAGCCCATTCCAATCCCCACATGTAGGGAGCCCAGTCCAAGTCTGGTTAGCCCACTCAGGCCCAGGGAGCTAGTGGACACAGTGACACAGTGGTAGTGGCTCTGCAGAAAGGGGAAACACAGAAGGGAGGCCTTGGAGGACAGGGGAGTCAGAAGGGCATTTCCAGGCAGCCCCCAGCAGGGGCAGAGAGCCCACTGCCTGCAGTGTTTGGGAAACAGCTGGTTGCCTTAGGATTCTTGAGGGGTTCAGGGTGGAGCTCTCTGGGCTGGACTCCTTAGCCCGACCCTCACCTGGCCTGATGTGAGGCAGTGGTGAATGGCCTTTATGCCAGAGCTGAGTGTGCTGGGCCCTGCCTGGCTGGGCTCTACCCAGCTCACCTGTCTGCACCCTCTGCGTCTTCCCTACAGGTAACTTCGAGGTCTGCAGTGAGAGGAGAAGATGAAGGAGGACCCTACTTCCAGAACCCTCGTGCCTGTTAGTGACAGCAAGTCCATTCTGAAGTAAGCCTCAGTGTGGGGGGTGGCCTCCAGGCAGCCCTTCTCCCCGCAGCCCCACAGGCCCTGAATCTGTCTGTCTGGAGATGTAGGCACCCTTTGGGTATGAGTGGAGGGTGGGCAGGGCCTTGGGCCCTGGAGCAGGTGGGCAGGAAGGTGCCTGCTGGCTCTGAAGTGATTGATTCAAGACTTCAAATAAATTGCACACCGTCACTTCAGGCCTAGATCTAGGTCTGGGGCCAGCAGGGCAGCCACAAGCCCCATGTGACTGGAGGTTCTTAGAAAGGCTCCTCAGGTGGCAAAGGCTTCATGCAGAATAAAGATGTACTGGCTTGTGTTATGCCACACTGAGCTCCTGCAGGCAGAGATAACTGGAAACCTGGTCAGTGGGGCACTGCCCATCTAACTCCACCTGCTGTGTGCTGTGTACTTGGCTACCCTGGCTGCTGGGAGACCTGAGATTGCCCATGAGCTGTGTCCCCAACTACAGTTTCTTGTCCCACTGAGAAAATCCTGTGGGGTGGGAGGAGGGCAGCACAGCCCCCTAAGTGTCCCTCAGCTGTGTAGTGGGGCTGCACCTTCAGCCTGACATCCTCTCACCTCATCTGGACCCAAGAAAGTCCAGGTGGGGATGTGACCAGCACCCCTGCTGGTGCCCACAGCAGCCACATGGGGACTTTGCAGGAGTAATTCAGCGAAGCAAGACTTGTGAAATGTCAGGAATGCAAATCTGGAGTCCCCTGAGGAAGTGAGAAGAAGACAAAGAGTTCATCAGGGACATGCCTCTGCAGTAGTGTCGCTGCTCTGCCTGCAAACCCCTCCCAACCTTCCCAGCCCCTCCCTGACACCCAAGCACCACACACCTGGAAGATGAGGGCTGATGGCAGGTGCTACTCTGTGGCCATGGAGGCCAGCTCTGTCTGGCCCTCATGCCTCATGTATCCCATGTCTTTCCTCTGCAGGTCTGAGCTCTTGAGCTTGCTGAAGACCTACAACTGCTACCATGAGGGCAGGAGTTTTCAGCTGAGGCACAGAGAGGTGAGGTTCCCATTTGTGGCCCCAATCTGTTCAGGTGCTATAGAGTCCACCCTTGTCACCTGCATGGGTGTCCCAGTTTGGGTAATAAGTTGCACAGTCAGTCACCCTGGGCTCTCCCTGGCTAGAGCTAGGTTCCTCGAGGGCAGGATGGAATCCAGCATTACATGAGAATTTGGGGCAGGAAGAGATCACCCACATACCTGCCCTGTCCCTCAGGACCTTGTCCAGGTGAAACCCTGACCCTGAGCCCTACCTTCCTCTGCTTGACACACTGGTCCTTCTGCCCCAGCCCAGCTGGACATCTGGACCTACTCGCTTGTCTCCCTATCACTTGGCACCCCCATCTTAGAGTGGGGTATTGACCCACCCAGGTCACAGGGCTCAGCAGGGGAAGTGGGGGGGGTGGTCAACCCTCAGATCCTGCCGTGGCTGTCTAGGGAATGTGACATTGTACAGCAGATCGTTCCCCACTTCAAAAGAAGCTAGGTACTGTACCCACAATTTCACAAAATCTTGAGATACCCTTGGATTTCCCAAATCTTAATACACCTTTGGATTTAACAGACTGTGACCAGGCCAGGAAGTGCTTCAGGTACCTGCTGTGCCCCTGATTGTCCCCCGGGGTAGGATCACAGCCTCTGGGGCTGACCACATGCAGTGCTTAATCTCGGATGTTTTGTAGGAAGCCTTGGTCATGGCTCTGTGTCCCTACTGGGTCTAATTCCATGAGCCTCCCAGTGGTGGGACTTTATCTGGGGGTTGACTTGGCAGCTGGACATTCCCCATTCCCCAGCATCGGAGGAGCCAGTGAGGTCCAGTCCTCCTCTGTGGTCATGGAGCCCACAATGACCTCATCAGGGCCACCTCTCCTCAGCTGCTTGCGGCCCACCTCCCTCAATAGGCATCAGACAGGGCACTCAGGCAGGCACTGGTGCCATGAGTCCTGCCCCAGCGCTCCCTGCTGGGGACCTCTGGCTGGTGGCTGGGCTGCCTGTGCTCATCTGGAAGTGTGCAGATTTCACACACCCCTCCCCTTAGTTGCCTCCCACCTGGGCCTTGGTAGCAGCTCTGATGGCTTCCTCATTTGTCCTCTCACTGCGTGTCTTAAGCCACCTGCCCAGCACTGCCCTGTCCCTCACAGAGCTCTGACCCACCACCTGGCCATCTTGGGCTCCTCTGGCTCCTTTCTTCCCTGAGCAGGGAGCTCCTGGAAGGCAGAACATGGGGCCAAGAGGTTTTAATCTTCTGTCTGTGCATCTGCTAAGGGAGAAGTTGGTGCCTTCTGTAGAGACTAGCAGGGACCTGGTACAGTCAGAGAATCTCCTAGTTGGGCTTCCTTCTTGGGTACTGGGACCCTCCAAGGCCATTGTGGTCTGCCGTATGGTCCCTGTGCCAGGAGTTTCAGCGTCATGGCCTGGGATCCAGAGAGAAGTGTGGATTCCTCCCTCTCCTTGACTGGCCCAGGGTTCCTAGCCTGAGAACCTTGAGCTAGAGCTTGCTTTTGGCCCAGGAATTCCCCAGAGTACTGCCTCTTTGGAAAGGTGTGGGGAGCTGTGCTGGGAACCCCACCCGGTCTGGCTCTGCACTCCTGCATGGGATCCAAGTGGGGAAAGGAAGGCTCCATGCCCCAGAGGCATTCCTGGCAGCCTGCTGTGCAGGGAGTTACCTATGGGGGGGGGGGGTTTCTCATGTTTCCAGCCCTAGAGGGGAGGCGGAGGCCTGATGAGATCTCTACAGAGCTGGAAAGTACCTTTCAGGAGCCTTCTGCAGCCCTCACAGACCAAGGGTTCCAAGCAAGGAAGTGCATGTCTTTGGGAGGTGACACTACCATTGCAACAAGCCTGCAGCCCTGAGGGGTTGTACTGCAGATGCTGATGGGGAGGACAGATTCTGAGGCACCCCACTCCTCAGAGTCTCACTGAGGCCCCTGACCCACCCATTGCAGACCTGAAATGTCCTGGGACTCCTGGTACCCATGGTACCAGGCAGGGGCTGCAGAGTCACACCAGACTGGGCACCAAGAGCTGGACAGACTGGAAGAGCTGACATTTCTTTGGGGAGCTGAAGTGCACCCTACATTTTGTCTCTAACAGTTATTATGATATAAGAGTTCTGCAATGTCAGAACAATCATTTTCCAGGCAAAGAAAGGAGACTCTTGGAGCTGGAGTCTGTAGTCCTAGGTCATCTTGGAGTTAGTGTGGCTCTGAAGTAGGAGCACCCCAGTGCTGTCCAGCAGTGCTGTCATCAGCCTCAAGGGTCAAATCTCATGAGGTCACTGCTGAGTATCACTGAACTGAGCTGTCACTCTGTTGCCAAGCTGAGCTGCGCCTGGGTTCGCCCTCCCAGACTCTGTCTACAAGGGCTCCTTTCCTCTTCCAGAGTTGGCAGAGGATGGAGGGGGAAGTCTGTGCATGTACCAATGGGATCCTTCTCTCCTTTTCCTATGGGAGAGAAGGAGGCACCAGACACCCTCTCTGTAACACTGTTTTGGGGATAGTCTGCTTGTCCTACAGTGAGGTGAGCCGCTATGAGCATCTGTGCCTTGTGCAGGTGGCAGAAGGTTGCCACAAGGCTGGCTGGTGTCTACTTGGAAGTGCGGGTGTGACCCTTCACCAGCAGGGTGTTGGGAACGGGAACAGGAAGCTTCCCATGACTCCACCTCTGGGCGTCTGCAGGGACTCGTGGGCTCCGCCTGGTGGCCCTAAGTATGCAGCACACCCAGTCTTGCCTGTGAAAGGGCTGCTGGTGACTCCCCCGCAGCCTGAGACCACTGGGCCTGGTGTAAGCATCTGGCCCCTTGCACATCTGCTCCCCAGGGCCTCCTGAAACCCTGCATCTCCTACTTCAGCAGCCAGTGGTAGAGATGGTGTCAGTGACAGTGGCTCTCACAGAGGACTCAGCAGGAGGGGAAAGGAATTCTGCCGGGCTCTTCTTCCCTCAGCAGAGGGGCTGCTGCAACAACCTCCTCCCACCATTTCTGTGAGGAGTGGGTTTCCTGGTACTTGGTGTCCTGTGGGCCGAGTGACCTTCTGGCCTAAGCCTAGGACTCTCTTGGGTCAACTTTTTTACACCAGGGGACATTGCAGGAGCCCCAAGCTGGAGGTGTCCTACCCACCCCACCTCACCCCTGCAGCATGGTTTCAGAAAATGTAGGGTCTACTGACAGTGCACTAGCCACCAGGCCCTCCTGGCTTTCCTGTTGTGTTGGCTCACCAGCAAGGCCCACCCTCCCTGTGACTGTTTGCTGAGGTCAGGGATCTGCAGGTCTGAGGCTACTGAGGGGCCACAGCAGCTCACAGCTGTGGAGGTGTTCAGTGCCTCATGTTCCCTGTGCAGTTCCCTAAGCCCTGGCGTGAGGGCACATGTTGATGTCCCCACTTTGATGATAAAGAAGAGCTGAAGCTTTCTCTTCAGCCTGTGGGATGTGCAGAAGAGAACAGAAACCTTCAGCAAGTCCAAGGCAGCTGAAAGAACCACATCACATAGAAACAAAGACAGGAGCAGGGTGTGGCTGAGCAGGTGCTGCTCTGCCCTCTTCTTGCTGCCCTTCTGTCCCGTCCAGAGCCAGGCACTCCAGCCCACTCTGGTCCCGGTCCTCACCTCTCTGGTGAAGAAAGTCCTCCTTCCCCTGTGCCGTGTGCATTCCCTTCTTGTCAGTTGCCTTCAGTAACCAGGAACATCTAGACTTAGGACATCTGGACAGTTCTTGTCCAGACAGGACCCTGCCCTGAGCTCAAAGCCATGAGTGATCCTTCACTGAAGCCGTTGGGCATGGGGACAGGTGGGGACCAAACCACCAGGTCTTAGATTTTGGAACCCTAGGGCTACTCAAATAGGGCCCTGGCCCTGAACCTGGGGACTCTCCAGCACCACAATAGGACTTATGAGTTGGAGGCATCAGGGTCCCCTGGGTTACTCAGTGGAGCCTCTGCTGAGAGCCCATGTGAGTACCCCAGCAGTATAGATCAAAGTTGGAGTGCCCAGGGCCTGCTCCACAGCCTCCCAACCTGTGTTGGCTCCTATCCCCCAGAGCATGGGGTGCACCCATTCCTCAAGATGCTTGGATGTGTCCCTCAATCACCCCCACCCACTATGAAAAAGCAAGGAGCAGAGCCCCCCCCCAACTGATTGAGGGTGCTCAGCCAGTGGAGACAAAGCCAATGGAGCAGCACCCTCTCACCCTGCAAGGTATGTGGGTTTCACTGCAGGAGGCCAGGAAGACAGCCCTGCTGGAATTGTCTCTTCTCCTAGCCTGTGGGGACCCATGCACTGTGGGGAGGGTGGAGACAACAGACACTGTGATGGAAGCCTTTATTAGGAGGCTTAGAGTTCGTGGATCACGGGGAGCTGTGAGTAGACGGTGCGCAGGATGCTACTGGCTCGGGGGCTGCAGCGGGAAGCTGAGAAAGTCCGGCTCTGCAGGCTGGCGCTCTGGTGCCCGTACTGTGAAGGTGCCACCAGCAACCGCTCTGGCATCCTGGCCTTGCTGCTGTCCACCTGACTGTGCGTGCTGCAGGGGACTGCTGTGAGGGGCAAGTTCATCACTCTTTGCTTTCCCTGGGAATTCCCGAAGAGCCAGTCCAACGGGTCAGCAACACCAGCAGAGGGCGGTGTGGGCCGCGGACCGCTGAAGAAGGCAGCCCGCTCCTGGCGGAAAGAAGCTGAAGCTGGTCTCCTCTCTCGGTCCCGGGCTACCCGGTGTGGTCGGCTAGGTCGACCCTGAAGGCTGACCTTGTCCAGCACTGTGGTGGGCTGTGCCAGCTGGCAGATAGATCTCACATAGTCCTCCAGGCTGGGAGAAGCTGGGGGCTCCTGTCCTGGGTCTGTAGGCAGCGTCTCCTCCGAGGTCTCCCGGATGGTGGGCAGTGGGGCCACAGACAGCAGGAGCCGAGACCGCATGACAGTGACCTGTTGGCCAAGGAGCGAGGGGTGAGGCATGCTGTGCCATCCCAGTGTCCACCCTCAGATTCCAAGCCAGGGCCAGAACTCCGGGCTCCTTATTCCTGTGAACGGAGCACTCCTCCTGCTTAGGGCTTTATCATGATGTATCCAAGATCCAGGACCCATAAGAGAGCCCAAGTATACGAATGTGGGCCTGGAAAAACTGGGTTCAAAACCAGGATCTGAGCTGGGTACAGTGGGCATGGCTGTCAGCCTAACTCTCTGGGAAACGAAGGCAGAAGGATCACAGGTTTGAGCCCAGCCTGCACAACTTAGCAAGAACCTGTCTCAGAAAGGGCTGGGAGTGTAGCTTAGTACAGAGATACTGAGTTCAATACCCAGTACTGAAAAGAAAGAAAGAAAGAAAGAAAGAAAGAAAGAAAGAAAGAAAACAAAAGATCTCCTGTTTACTGACCTTGAGACTTGAGAAAAGACACCTCTTCAAACCTCCACTTCCCACCCATACATAAACAGGATTATAAAGATGCCCTAGCAGTGACATGTGGGAAATACATGAAGCAGCACCTTGTATGAGCTCCTGGGAAACTCAGGCCCTGGAACATGCCACTGTGACTTCCATTGCTGCGTTTGGTGCAGGGTGACGTCTGCTCTACAGTGAGGCTGGGGGCCCTAGCCAGCTACATCTTTGGAGAGCAGCAAGACCCTGTGTTCCCCTCAAGCCCTAGGCAGCAGCTCTGTCTTACCTGGAGTCCAGGGGACTGGCGTGGCGGGGGTGACAACAGAACAGTCCTGTCCCAAGCTGGAGGCAAAGGCCAGGCTGTTTCCAGACGGCTTGCAGGGCAGATGGCTGTGACAGGCAAAAGCTTCTCCCTAGCTGTCTGTTGGAGGCCTGCAGCTGCTTTTATACCTTTCCTCTAGCTTTCAATTACTGTCAGGAGGCCAAAAATAGCTGTGTGGGAGAGGGAGGTGCCCGCAGGAAAACAGCCTGGTGGGCGGGGCAGCTGGGCAGCCTGCAGCGGTGTCTGCCTGGGCAGGGCTGGGATGGTGTTGGCCCATGCGGCTGGTTGGGGTCTGCCTGCCCCAAGTGCTCTCACTGTGTGCCACACTGCACCCAGGCCCAGGATGGCCACATACCTGGGGGTGTCAGCCTGCTGGGGTCTGGTCCTGGCTTGTAACCCCTGCAGACCAGCTATTTCTGTGTCCAGCACCAGATTCTAGTGCTCCTCTGTGCCAGGACAGCTCCAGGCACTGAGGACATGGCAGTGACCTCATGTCCTGTGAGGGGTCCATCATGTCATGTCACCAGTGCACAGGTGCTGGCACTGCAGGCACTGTGGACAGCTGCACAGAGCAGAGAGTACCACGGGGCTGGGTGGCTGCAGTCGCCCCTCCTAAAGAGGAGACAAACACCATCTCTCCCATGGAAATGGGAGACAGGGTAGTAGGTGCAGAGGCCTGCGTTGGATGTGCAGGATGCAGCAGTGCCAGCAGGTTGCTCACCTTATTTGTGTAGGAGAAGGGCAGAGGACCTCAATGAAGACGCTAGGTTTCACCCCCAGGATGGTGAAGGACACCACAAGGTAGAACAAAGGTTTCAGTCTGGCTTACAGCAACTGCTCTGGCTGCAGTGCCTATGTTAGGGGTGTTGATGGGGAGCCACAGCAATGTTGGAAAGTCTGGAGTGACCGCTTCCTACAAGGTGGCTGGAGACCAGGGGTGGCCCTGACAGGGCTCCAGATAAAGAGCCAGCAGCATGTGCCTCTCAGACAGGCTCCAAATGAGCCCACTTGGGACTCACCTGCAGCTCACCTAGAGCCCACTTGGGGTCCACCTGGAGCACATCTGTACAACACCTGTCTGTGTGCACAAGTGGAAACATGGAGAAGAGAGGTCACCAAGCCTGAGATGAGAGGGTTGGATGGACCTGGGACTCTGAGACAAGGAGGGAAAGGCAGTGGCCCCAAGTTCTTATGGTCTAGGGAGGCTTCTGCCTGGGCACCTGACAGCGGACAGCAGGGTTTTGGCTACACCAGAAAGGCCCTGGCCTGATGCTTCTCTGATGCCTGCGTGGGTTTCGCTGGCTCTTTGCATTTTTCTTTTAAACCAATTAGCTAATTAACCAAGAGGCCAAGTGAGAAGAAAGAGGGTTTAAGGCCCTAGAGTGGCTTCTGATACATGAACTTCACAACCTTTCCAGGCTGGTGATGCGACCTGGGTGAGGAGACCCAGGGGACACTCCTGCTGCAGCCCATGTGCCATTCCCATCCTGTGACCTGTGGCCTGACAGACACTGTTCTGGCCTCAGTCTGCCAGACTTAATCAGAGGGTGCTGTGGGCTAGTGTGTCCCCTCCATGTGGGTGGGACAGGTGGAGGAGTGCTTGTGGGGCACAGGAACATCCTGTATGGGGACATCCAGCCTGGTTGAGCATGACCCAGCACAGCGGCCCCTCAGCTGCCCATGCATCCCCTCCACACTTCCAGCACAAGCTTTCTCTGCCATCTTCTGCAGCCCAGGTCTCCCCTTGGAGATCTCTCAGGGCCCAGCCTCATGGGGCATGTCCAGCCCCATGTCCTACTCCCCACCCCTTTTTTGCTCCTCCCCTAGGGTGCACAGGCACCCCTCCTTCAGGCCTCTGCCAGTCTTGAGCAGCAGGGAACACTTGTCCAAGTGTATCAGCCTTTTCCCAGACACTTTCTGCCTCCAGGAGCCCCTGCCCACCCAGGCACACTCCCCTCACCTGTGACCCCTTCCTGGCCAGGGCACCAGCTACTCCAGGACACCCCCATCTCCTGTGATCCACAGGTGAACCCCTTATGGCTGGTTGAGTTAACTGAGCCCAGAGTCCAGGGTGGGCTGCAGGGTGCTGAGTCTGGGGAATGAGCTCCCCTATACCTGAGGTGTTCAGTGTGTCCAGGACCCTTTCAGCCAGAAGCCCCTGAAGGCAAAGCAAAGGAGGGGATCATACCTGGGCTTCCTTTTCTCCCTGGGACTTCTGGGTCCAGAGGCCAGTGCCTGCCTTTCTCCAGGGTAGAAACTATGGAACATCAGTGGGAGTCACAGCAGCTCTGCAGGTGGGAGCAGTGACCCATTTCTGCAGTCACAGCACAGAGGGAAGCTGAGGCAGGGGGACAATAAGTTTAAGTCCAACCTGGACAATTTAGCAAGACCCTTTGTCAAAATAAAGAATGAAAGAGGGTTGGGGATACAGTTAAGTCTAAAGTCCCTGAGTTCAAACCTCAGTACCAAGAAAGAAAGAAAGAAAGAAAGAAAGAAAGAAAGAAAGAAAGAAAGAAAGAAAGAAAGAAGAAAGAAAGAAAAGTAGCTCCCAAAGTTTCTCATTTTGTTTTTTTCTCGGCAAACAGAGAAAGGTCATATCAGAAAGCTGCGTGTGTTGCTGATAACCCTAGAGAAGGCAATTTCCTCTGTGGGTGGCACAGGTTTGAAACTAGAGACAGTTACTACCAAACTGAGATCCACATGGCAGTTTAGCCAGAGGGCAGCAAGTCCCAGGGCCCCTGTGCTCATGTGAGTCCCATGCCAGAGAAGAGAGAGATGAGGAATCTCTAGATGTGTCTGGCATATTGTGGGCAGAAGCCAGGCTGGGTTTCCCCGGGATGTACTTCCTGCCTGAAGTGCGGACGTGCCTCTGGACAGCTGCAGGCTCCTGTGGGACACCTGGCTCAGCACCCCCTTCCAGCCCACCTCTTGCCCTGGTGCATGTCACATACTTATTTGGGGCATAGGGAGGTGGACAGTGACTTGGGGATGCAGCTAACTGTAGGTTCCCACAGGAGGAAGGGGCTCTGATCATTGAGGGCCTTCTCAACATCGCCTGGGGGCTCCGCCGGCCTATCCGTCTCCAGATGCAAGATGACCGGGAGCCCACACACCTCCCTTCTTCCCTGTGGCAGCCTGCACGGCACAGTTGCCCTCCGTGAGTCCAGGGACAAGGTGGGACAGGGCCTCAGTGATACCTTCCAGCCCCAGGTACCTCAGACTCCCCAAGAGGACCACAGCCCGACTGTGTCCAGTGACTCCCTCTGTTCCTGCTACACCCACACAGCCAAATCCCTGCTCACTGCACACACATGGGGCATGAAGGCAGACTCCCTGGAAGTGGGAAAACAGTCCCAGGCACAGCTGGCCACATCCCCTGGACCTCCTAGCATCCCTATACTTAGACCACGGCCCACCCAGAACACTGCTCCCTCTCTTTGTACTATCACTAGTAGATAGTACAAAGTACCCTGGCTCTGCCCAGGGTCTGTCTTTGCCCCTGCCTGACTGCCCTCACCCTGGGGAAGCCCTGTGAGCCCCCAGGCACTTGGATGCGCTAACGCTGACCTAGCTGAGCCCTGGCCTAAGACAGAGCACTGGCTGTGTGTGTATACCTGGGCCACAGCCCAGTAGGCCAGACCGCTTCTCCCAGCCAGGAAGCCTTTGCTTTCCCTTCCCTTGGGAGATTGACCCACCTTGGCCTGCCCCCTTTTGGCTGAGTTGCTTGTTTGTGCCTGGCCACCTGACTGCAGTGATGATCTCTTTCAGGAAGGAGCCCCCTCCTCAAGACTGCAGAGCTGCTACTCAGGAACCGAGTGCTCAGGCCGTGCACCAGGATGCTGGCTCCAGGGACAGCTCAGGTTAACAGAGCCCTCAGGGTGCTGGGAAGTATCTCATTCTAAAAGGGGCAGGAAAGGGGCTATAGGGGCATGGGTGGGAGAGCAGCCTGCGGAACAGCTAAGAGCATTGAGTTAGTCTTCAGGGCAATTCCTTGGTTCCTCAGCCAGGAAACTCCTCACAGCATGCAACTGTGTTGGTGACCCAAGCACCCTGCACTGTGTCACTGTGCACAGAGGAGCGGCCTTAGCTCAGGGCATGGCCCACGGACCTCATCCTCACCCTCTGGGATCCAGACTTCTCTGGTCTTCCTTGGGTCCTTCCTCTCAGCATTGAGGGAAGGACCTGTTGTGGGGAGGGGGTGCTCAAAAGGTGCCTTGCTGGGCTGGCACAAACTGGGGGCTGTGGCCTGGTGACTGTCCTGTCTACAAGCCAGAATTCCACCTTGCCCTGGCACAGGCTTCTGTTGGAGTGACCTGATTGTCCCTGCAGACTGGTGACTGCCAAAGGCCCAGGAGCCAAGTTTGCATCTGTTTCTCCCTTTAGGGACCCCAGAGGACACTGAGGAGGTCCCCCAGCTGATGCGGACCAAGAGTGATGCCAGCTGCATGATCCAGAGGCGACCCAAGCGCCATGCACCTGGCGAGGCCCAGAGGATCCGGCGCCACCGGTTTTCTATCAATGGGCACTTCTACAACCACAAGGTAACATGCCAGCATGGCTCAAGCAACCCTTCTTGAAGGGTTCAGGGAAGAATCACTTTGCTTAAAGTCTCATCCCCAAAATATCACCACTCGGGAACCACTGTCCATTGCCCACCACCCACCCACCATCTATCCATTCTCAAAGTCCTGCAGGTTTTGGCAGACAGAGATGCTAAGTTTGTCTGTGGTGAGGCCATTTCTAGGCTTCCCCAAGCTGAGGGACTGTCTCATGGGAACAGCGTGTATCCCGCTGTCCCTGTCCTGGTGGGTTGAGACCATATGGAGTGTGAAGTCCCTGTTTGTTTCCAGAGAACAGGCTGGGCTGGGTTCCCAGCATTGCCTTTTGTCCAAGTGTGCATTGTCCTGACCTTGGGAACTGATTGCCTTCCCCTATTACATCACCCTGAAAACACAGGCGCTGTAAAGAGAAGTGATTGTTACTATAAATGGAAGGAGTGGCTGTTGGGTGAGGCTGGCTGGAGTGTCCTGTGCCTGTGCTGGCCACATCCTGCTTTGCTGGGAAATGGAGCAGGGGTTCTCAGCTGGGCAACTGCCCTCCTGCAGGATACACAGGGGGTCTTGGAGTCATATTGGTAGGAGCTGCAGCCTAGAGGAGGCCTTTCAGGAACTGCTCAAACCACTCTGGAGGGGCATAGGACCTTAGGAGAAAGCTCTCAGCTTGGCAAGCTGAGGGACCCTACTTTAATCCATCCCATCATTTCCCTTCTTCTAACTCTGGCCCTGGCAAGCTTTGCAGTAAGTGCTGCAGGATGGGCACAGGGTGTCCTTTAAGTCCTGTTCCCAAAGGGGTTTAGTCTGCGAAGGCTTAAGCACCAGTTGTTAGTGTTTGAGTAAATACTAATGAGCTATTTTAAGAAAGTCCTCAAACATCTTCAAAGGCCATGTGTCTGGGTGTAGCTTCTTTTGAGTTCTGTGTTATTAGAAAAAATAGGACTTTGCCCCATGGTGTATGGAACTGTGGGTTCAGCTCTGGTGCACTGGCTTCTCCGACCTCCCTGGAGGTATCAGGCCTCCTAGCACCCTTGGTCATGGTGTTGTCCTTTCATGTCAGTGACCCTGACCAGCTCTCTGATTTCCCCACCTTGTGTTTTCTGAGAAAAGAGGACCAGTTCTCAGTACATCAGAAGCTGCAATGAAAGTTAAATCAAAGGTTGCACATAAAAGTATTGGCAGGTGCCATGCTTGGCAGGTGGTTGCTGAGGCCTGTTCAACATAGGTCATGTCCTAGGTGACTTCATGGACAAATGCTCCCCACTCCAGATGTGGTTAGGTCCCATACAGTTAGCATTAGGTTTAACATACCCTAGACACAGGTGCAGCTCATCTGCTCACCCTACCAAACGACCTGAGTGATGCAGTGACTGTGGCCCTTGCTGTCCCCAGCATGATCCTAGGGCATGGGCCCATGGCTTGCTGCAGTGTCTGTACTGGGAGACACAATCCTGCAGCACATCACTAGCCTGGCGCAAGGTCCAAATACACAACTCATACAGCTTCTACCCAATGTGTATTGTTTTCACATCATCATAAGGCTAAAACATTATACATCAAACTATCCTAGTTGTAGACCGACTGGATAGTGTCTCATGGGCAAAAGCAAAATACCTACAAGAATAAATGTCAGATGTGGTGGATATACCTTGATCCCAGCTACGCAGGAAGCTGAGGCAGAAATATGAAGTAGCTCAGTGGTAGAGCATTCTCTGGCATATGCAGTACTCTCAGTTCTACCTCCTACACACACACACACACACACACACACACACACACACACACACGCATGCACGCACACACGCATGCACCCACACAAATATAATGGGTCTCCTCCAGAACCGTGAGGAACCTCAGGGTGCTTGGTGGGAACCTGCTGCTGTGTGTGACTAGGAAGCTGGGGTGGCACTGTGTGGCCATGGCAACCTACAGATGTCTTTAGCTAGAATCATGTTTTTTAAAAGTGCAGTGGCAAATCACACTGTGTGGACTATGTGGCCCAGGATTCTTTTCCCAGTGCTAACCTGGTTCTGGAGGGAAATGCAGGGGAAATAGTACAGCAGGCTGATGAGGCTCAGCCCATGACACCCTTTGGCGAGCCAGAAGATTTGGAAGGTGGTGCCTTGGGCAACAATGTGAAAGGTAGAGGAGAAGGGCTAAGGGGAAGGGGATGAACTGGGGGCTGTGGCAGTCATACCCAGAGCACTGCTCAGCACCACTGGGAGAACATGGAGAAGAGGACAGATGGGGACCTTGGACCTTGGGATCAGCAGACAGGTGGTGACTTGATGGGCAGAGTGAGGGAGAGTCCAGCCCTCCACCCATGAATCACCTCTCTGGTCTGGTACCTGGGCTGCAGAGAGCGCTGCCCTGCTGTTGTGTGGCATGGGCATCTTCTAGGGTCCTCTGTAAGATGCCCTGTCACAACTTTGTTGAGCACTCAGAGTCTGGAACAAACCTGGCACAGTGTGCCCAGAGTAGGGCACCATACTGTGGGCTCATGTCCCTACTGGGCCTGCCTTGAGCCACCTTTCTCACACACAGACCTCGGTGTTCACTCCTGCCTATGGGTCTGTGACCAACGTGAGGGTCAACAGCACCATGACCACGCTGCAGGTACTCACCCTCCTGCTCAACAAGTTCAGGGTGAGTGGGGGTACCTCTCCAGGCCTGTGGGAACCTTGCTGGATGGAGAGCTCGGGGAGGGCAAGGGTGGAAGACCGTCAGGGTATCTTCAGCTACAAGGCAGGCCCTGGGATTCAGGCAAAGCAAGCTGGGTCCTGGGCACATGGCCTTGTGCCAGTGGTTTTCTTTTCTGTCTTGGCCCACAAAGCTGAAGTCTGACCTCTGTGGCCTCCTGTGCAGGTGGAAGACGGCCCTGGGGAGTTTGCGCTCTATGTGGTCCACGAGTCTGGGGGTAAGTGTGAGCTTCTGCTTGTGCAGCAGGAAAGCAGAAGGCCTGCGCCCCTACAGCCAGTGCCCAGCTCCCTGGCAGCCCCTTCCTCTCCTTGCTCCTGGGCTGTGCTGTTCCTCCACCATCCCCATCACTCTCAGAATCCCACAGTCCTTTCACCCCATCCCTTGAAATGGAAGTTGTCTCTCTCATGGGGACTGAGCCAGGAGGATGGCACATATGCAGGGCTGCAAGGCTGAGCTGCAGTCCAGAACCTGCAGCTCCTCTGCAGCACTGGTGGCCATGCTGGTTTCCTGCCCCTGATCTTCTACCTCTCTGCTCCTCTCTGTCCAAGGGCCCTCAGCTGGGTGATGCTTGAGAAAGGCACAAAGCCTTCTCCTACCCACAGCCCTGTAAATCAGATGAACTCAGTCAGATTAGCAAGAAAAAAAGCAGCCCAGGTGGTTCACAGGTGCATTGACCACAGGTGCTCCTGGGACTGTGACCCAAGGGGTGAGAGAACCTGGGCTCACATAGCCTCCTGGTGCCATTGCAGAGCCAGAGATGTGTGCAGCAAAGGAATTCACTAAGATGAGACAAAGAGTTTATTCAGATCAGAGTGCACCCTCAAGAGAGACAGAGGCTTTAGTTTCAGAGGGGAATCAGGGATTGGAGAGGCAGGGAGGGGCTGGGGGTTCTCAGGGATGCCTTTCCCAGGTGATTCTGCTTTAGGAACACATGAATTGTAACTCACATTGTACATCAAAGCCACCGGCTGGCAGGGTCACAACTGCCTACTCCTTGAAGAGGCCCCTGGCCTGGAGGAAGATTCACTTTGTCCCTTGCTGTTCCCTTAGTGTCCCTGTAGGATCTCAGGGCAATGCAGGCAGGATTGCTCCATGAGGTTTAGTGAGCAGATTTGCTGCTGCACTGTGGGTTTCACGTGGTGTTGCCAGTGGACTATCCCTAGATGTGGCAAAGGAGGGGCCAGGACACAGGGGAGAGGCTGTGTCTCCAGGTGGCACTGTGGAGGTCATGGGGCAGGGAGGGTGCAGGGACAGATGAGGACAGAGCTCATTTTTAGCAAGCTTCCTTATGAAGATTCTCATGGTGCTTTCTTCAGGTGGGTGAGAGTACCAAGTTGTCTCTGGAGACTGACTTCTGTCCTTCCTGGTGGAGAAAGGGGACATCATGACAAACTTTTGCCCTGCCTTGAGGGGGTGGAAGGAGGGCTCTGAGCTTTCCCTATGTCTGCTCTGTCACCACAATAACCCTGCATCACAGTGGTCAACATGGGCTGGCCTGTTCTGCTGTCCTTCCGAAGATCATCCATCTCTCAGGGCAGCAGATTCAGTGAGCCTTCTGGCCACCCATTCTCTGTCATGCTCCTCTCCTGGTGGAGAGACCACCCTGACGTCCCACAAGCTGTGTGAATCACCTTCTGTTTTAGAGCGGACAAAGCTTAAGGACTGTGAGTACCCACTGATCTCCAGGATCCTGCATGGGCCCTGTGAGAAGATTGTCAAGATCTTCCTGATGGAGGCAGACCTGGGAGAGGAAGTTCCCCATGACGTGAGTGGGGTTGAGACTGGGAGACGGGAGGAGGTGGGGTGACCTTGGCCCAGGCCCTCTGTGGCAGTGCCCACTGGAGCTATCCTGATGCTCAGGTGCCCTCTTCCTGGCTGGCCTAGGCCAAGAGGGACCTGAGTGCTAGGAAGCCATGGCCTGTTCCTTTTCTTCTCTAGTGTATGATACCTTTTCCTCCACTGGAAGATGCTTAGCTCTGATTTTCTTACTTTTTTTTCTTTTTTTTTTAAGTTCAGAAGGATTTTGTTTTTTCCTAGCTCAGAATGCCTTACTGGCATTCTGGTGAGGTTTGAGGATGTGGGGATTGAACCACAGAATCCTGAGCTTGAGTGCTTTGCTTAAGCAGGCACTTAAACAACTGAGCTAATGGGCAGGCCCCCTAGCTCTGATTTTCTTACAGACTCTCCAGGGGTTCCTTATCTGGGGCTTAGTGCAGGTAAAGGAAGGAGGTATTTAAGTTGGCTCAGAAGCCTATAGGGTTGGGGCCCCAGAGAAGGTAGGGCTTTGTCTCCCTGGGCCTCCCCCACAGGCTGGTCGAATTTCCTCCATTGTCAGAAACCCTTCCTACCACCCCCTCCAGCAAGGACCAGGTGCCTTTCTTATAATCTGATCCAGGCTTCCTCTAGGGATAAGCCTTGCCTGTGAGATAAGGAGATTCTATTCTGTCCACATAGGGAGCAGTGAGGCATGGGAAGGGGGCACCTGCGGCTCTTTGGACATGGGCCATTGGTTGCCTGGCCCACTGTGGAAGCTAAGAGGCAAGGAAAGCATGTTTTGACTTCTTGCATAAAGCACATCAAAATGTTCTTGGATTTTCTAGGTCGCTCAATATATTAAGTTTGAAATGCCTGTATTGGACAGTTTTGTTGAAAAATTAAAAGAAGAAGAGGAAAGAGAAATCATCAAACTGACCATGAAGTAAGCAGCAGTTCACAGCCAGTTGAGGGTCCTAATACTGGGCTGGGCACACAGAGCACCCCTCTGCTGGGTGGACACCCCAAGATTGGGGGATGCACCCAGCACCACTTTGGCCCCTGCTTGGTGCTGAGGGCATGCTGGAATGACAGCTGTGTGAATGGAAGGGATGCAGCCCAGACTGCCCACCCAGGCTTGGCCTCCTGCCAGATCCCAGGTGGCCACCCAGGAAGGCAAAGAGAGGCAGGAGTGCAGTCCCCAATGGGTGAAGCTTTCTAGTTTTGCTGGTGACTCAACTGCTGCTGCTGCTGGAGGGCAGTTTGTGGAGGGGAGGCAAGGTCTGCAGGGCCAGCTGCGTGAGATTAGCAGGCTGCGGGTCCCAGAGGGTCTGCCCTTTGGCAAGGCAGAGCACAAAGAGGCACCCGGAGAGTATCTGCCCTGTGGGAAGGAGAAGACTGCAGCTCTTGGGAGGGGCTGTGAGGGTCCTTATACTCCAGCTTTGGGCTAGGTGACCTTGGAGAGCCACAGCCCCATCTGTGCAGTCACCCACAGTGGGAGCCAGTGGGGACCCCATCAGAGCGAGCTACCCAGTGCACTACCACCGGTCAGGTCGTGAAGGCTTTACAGCTACGAAGGACTTGGAAATCCCTTAGTCAGACTCCAGAGTGCAGAGGACATTGAGTCCCACACCAAGAAGGGTGTAACGTAGGTTATTTGCAGAGCTCATGCTGGAACATGGGCTCCTAATCCCTACCACCGCCCTGTGCACCCTGGTGCCTCCCATCTCTACTGCAGCGTCTAAGGAATAGAATTGACCACATTCGTCCTGCTGCGTGTGCAGTCCGCAGCCCTGGCAACAGTTCTTCATGGAAACTGGTGGGCTCTGCCCTTTGTTGCTAGAGGAGATAGCAGTGGGAGCACCAGTCCCTGGGCTAGTCACCTGTGTGCCCATTCCTCTACTGTCCCCCCAGCATCAGCAAGTTCCTATTTCCATCTCCCTGCAGGTTTCAAGCCCTGCGTCTCACAATGCTAGAGCGCCTGGCACAGCTGGTGGAGGTCGAATAGACACTGCGGCTGCCTCTTCTGTCCCCTTCCCCCAGCTACAAGTGCCATAAAACTCAATGGCTGTGCTGACCAGCCACACTGACTACACCACTGCCTGAGGAATCCAGCACCCATGCTTCTAATGCACCAAAGCCCATGTACAGAGAACTTTGCTTTCCTGGAATCTGTGAGGGACAGATTAAGGCCCTCAGAGCCAGAAGTCTTTTAGCCTGAGTCTACAGAGTGGCTGCCTGGATGATGAGTGCCCCTGAAGCTGTGGCACCAGCCTCATCCTCTGGCTGAGCATTGCCAGTCCCATGTGTGCCACACACCTGCTCGGGCAGCACACAATGCAGGCCACCAGCACTGCCTTCATCACCCAGGAGCCATGACAGCCTTGTCCATCCCTATGTTCTGCTGCCATTCAGCTCTGCTGCAGAAAACCATGTTCCATTCCTCTTCTCCATGATGATCCAGGCCTCCAAGCCACAGCCCTGCACCCCAGTGCAGAAGTCAGGTTACCAGAAAGACCACAGGTCCCTTCTCTGTACAGTCTTTGTGCTCAGTGAGTCCCAAAAGCAATTGTGACTGGAGCTCACTGAGAGTACTGTCAACTTGATCCATGGAGACACATGGCAGCGGTGCCAGCTCAGCTCTGGATGGCAGGGCTTACACTGTCACGCAGTCCCAGGGGTATCTGTGCACCTCTGGTCCACTGGGCAGTGACTCAGTTCTCCCCATCAGAGTGCAGTAACGAGAACAAAGGCCCATTTGGAGAGAGAGGGCTTTAAATTCCTGGGGGCCAGACACTGAATAATGTATTTATTAACTGGTGGAGAATTCTGGAATGAATGAGGAAGGCTTTAAAAAACCCTACAGCAGTTTATGTCAGCTGCACAGGTGTTTGTCTAAAACTGCAAATTGAAGTCCCCCAGCTTTTCTTTCCTTGGGGTGTATGGGTGACATATCCATAGGGAAGAACTATGAAGGCTGGAGAGATGGAAGAGATTGTGTGTCAGTGCTGCAGTAGCCCCACACAGACTCTGGACAGGGCATAGCTGGGGAGCACTTCATTGTGTGGAGCCCCTAAGGTGAGTTGGGGGTGCCAGGGCTCCCCAGACCAACTCTGTGGTCAGAGGTGGCTGCCAGGGAGGGCAGTGCACTTTTGCTCCTCTGCTCTGACATTGTAGCTTTGTAGGGCTAAATAAAATTAGCTGTTCTGAGCTGTGGACATGAAGAGGACTGGGATTTTTTCATCTTTGCTGCTCAGTGTGTCCACTGTGGCTTTTGGAAGCTCTTATCCCATAGCATGTATGGCCACAGTTGACACTGACAAGACTCCTTGCTTCCAGTGTGGCCTGAGATTGGACCAGTGTGGCCTGAGATACAGAGGAGGATGCACTGGTGGGGCCTGCAGGTGGCGGACCACCAGGGCTCCCCTGAACTGCAGGCTCTGAGCACTCCTAGCAGTTCAGGACCTTCCATGTAGGGACACAAGGGAGGGTGGGATCATATCAGGCACGGGTTCTGGGGAAGTTGACTCTGAGCCTGTGCAAATTGACTATGGGCCTGTGGCTCAGTTCTGGAACAACTTCTGTGCCCTGTTGAGTAGTAATGGAGTAGTGGCTTTGTGTTTGACCCCAAGGGACAGAGATGGAGCCCCAGTTGGCCCTGTCCTTGGGAGCAACAGGCCAGACAGCAGGAGAGCTGGAAGAAGGCCGAGGCTGCCTGGCACTTGCCTGGCAGGGCCTTTGGTGTGGCAGGCCAAGTCCATGCCTACCTAGGCACCCTGACCCTGGGCTCTGGAAGTCATCATAGCAGGAAAACCCCTGCTTGCACAAACCTCATTTGTTGGTGTATATTTTTTTGCAACTGTTCAAGTATAATTTATGGACTTTTTAGATGAGGCTAAATCTAAATTTCAAGGCTAATTTCTGAATATCATGGCTAGGAAAAGTCTCAACAAGTTGCACAGAAAAGGGAAAAATGTCTTCTGTAGTGCTTGCAGGGGTTTGCAAGGCTTTTGATCAGAGGCCCTCAGGAAAGCCAGGTTGACCCATATGAGGCCATCAGACAGAGCTGCAGTTTCGGCTGCTTGGGGCACTGCTTTGTCTAGTTCAGTTCATGGCATGGCCCCACATACTCCTCATGCTTTACATAATCCTGGTATCCAGTGTAAAGCAAAGATCCCTGTTCCTGTCAGAAAGTGCAGTCTTCTAAGTTGCACCATCCTCTGAGTCAGCCTAGGGGAACTTTCAGGAAGATAAACATCACTAGATAGGATGAACATGATTGCAAAAGGACTGAACTCAGGAAAAACAGTGTTGTTTGTTCAGAGCAAATGACCAGAGGAATCAAAAACAGCTTGTTTTTCTGCAGCAGTGACCTTACTCTGCCTACTTGGAGTGTTTACCAGAAAATGGGCTAAAAACCTCTCACCATTAAAACAAAGCCATGTACCAGGGACACATCTGGCCCCTGAGCTCCCAGGAAAAAGGCCAAGGCTGACACAGCCTGGTTAGGTGACTGGTGGAGAGACTGGAGATGCCAGACATGGCTGTGAATGGGGGCTCAAGTGCCCACAGTTGCAGAGGGACATCCTGGTCAGGTGCAGAGGTGAACGGCAGCCCCCTGGCCTCAGGCCCTTGGCAGTAACCATTCAGGAAGCCAGGTCAAAGCCTAGCAGCTCTAAGTACAAAAACAGCAGCTGCACGAGCTATATTTAGGCTGCACGCTGTGGTTGGGAGGGAGCCAGTTATGGACGTGCAGAGAGGCCACAACATGCAGCAGGCATGGATCATCCTCCTGGGGCAGTCACAGGGATGGTTTCTACAGGAGTAGGAATTCTTTTCACTGAGACCGCAGAAGAAGCAAAGCAAAGTCTCACATACAAGGTAGAGCCTTGCTCGGGGCCCCTGAGCTGAGAGGTCCACTTTGGAGAGAAGAACCATGCTAGTCACTGCATCAGGTCATGGAGCCCGCTTGGTTGCTCTTCGGCTGCTGATCAGCACTGACAACACAGACCCAGGCAGCAGCCTTCCCGCTGAGACGATGCTTGTGAAACGGAAAGTACAGAAATATGTGCAGAAGAGCATGCACAGGGAAGGGTGCAGGGACAAGACCATGAGAGAAGGGAGCTGTTTAGCCAGGCACTTCCTGTGCACCTAGCCCAGTGGGTGCTCTTTCCTAGTGGGAACCTGTCCAATAGCACTGCACTAGGGGCAACATGGTCCCAGCTCCACAGAGAAGCCTTGGCCATGGAGGTGTCCTCGCCCTCTCAGCATATCTTACCTGAAAACACTCGAGCCAGCCCTAGAGATATACAGACCAGAGACCAGGTGATGCAGTTAGGACCCCTAACTGTGTGTCCTCCACTCTTTCCATTCCTAAATTTCGGATGTGACTGCTCCTGATTGTTTAATTTGTTCTAAAATAGCATGGAATTTCTAACTCTCTAGCTTCTCTATTGATAAAAGTATGTAACTTTTGATGGTGTTTCAGAAAAAAGCTAGGTCCTAGTGGGTGAGGACCAGCCGCCAGAGGGAAAAGGTGCTGTGAGACCAGACAAAAAGACAGCCCTAGGATAGCAATTTATGAGGGACTGTGGACAGAAGTATGGCTTGGGTGACAGCAAGATAGAGGCTCCTGCACCCTGCGGCAGAAGAAAGGTGGCTGTTTACACACTGAGCTAGACAAAGGTGGGCCCAGACTAGCAGGGAGGTGCCAGGCCTCCCTCAAAGATTCAGCATGACCAAGGTCAGTCAGGAAACCATCCAGTCACCAGTGACCAAGGCAACATGCTAAGCTGATTCTCTTAACAACTTTGCTTTCCTGTAGGGTTTGGGATGTGAGCTGAGGTTACCTGGAGGGCACACTAGCAGTCCCAATCAGGATAGCTGGAGTCATGTAAGTGGGAGCCAGGTTATCGGCCTCTGTTTCTTCATCAATAAAATGGAGATAATGCTTCCTATCTCTCCAGGTAACTGGGTGGCACATCAACCTTTCTATGAAAGCATTTTCCTCTTGTGCTTGCTGTAGGGGACTGTGATGGCACAGATAGGTTTGGGTGGCTCTGTCCCTTGTATCGCAGGCTGCAGGAGCCACCCCTCCTTGGCCCACCCTAGCCAGGTTGCAAAGGGAAAGATCACAGAGCTGGTAGAGATGGACCAAAGATCCCCTTGGGCTTGAGGTGCCTCACATCCACGCACATGCACACCAGTCACATGGTGAAGACTACATGGGTGGTATGGGCAGGTCATGAGGAGGAAGTGAGGGTCACCTGCAAGAGGCAGGAATGTGGGGCCAGGGCTGTGGCCAGGCAGGGCAGCCACACCTGGGAGTGCTTGATGAGGCTCTGTGAGTGCTTCAAACAGGCATCCAGGGAGTGGGGAGCGGAAGCGGAGCGCTGAGCATTGTGTCAAGGTCAACTGTTGCAGCAGTTAATAAGTAACTTGAGGGCATAAATCCTGCCTGTTTATTCCTTTTCTGTTTCCCTCTGACTCCTCATTCTATTCTGCCCCTGGCCTCTCTCCATCCTCACCTCTGCCCCTGCCTACCACTCACTCCCTGTTACTTCCTCCTGGTTTTTATGTGTCTCCTTTTAAAAGTCTACCTGGTCTCCAAACTGTACATATCTGGGGTTGGCCCAATTGTCTTCAGGCATGAGACAAAAGGACACGATGGGGTATAGAAAGGGTGAGTTTTAATTCATTACTATCTTACTATGATATGTTTCAGAAAAAATGTTTATTATTTTCATATACACAGAGAAAACAGTCCCAGCAGATCATTTTTGTTCTTGAAACCTGGAAAAACCATCACTGGCATCTCTCATTCTTGCCCACCACCACCAGCCCCTCCAACCATCAACACCAACATATTGTGATAATTTAGTAATAAAAACCCTAATAGCTTCCATTTGTTACGTGTTTTGCATTATGCTGAGAGCCTGCCATGTAAACTTCACAACTGCCCAGACACTACAAGATCACTGAACTGAACTTCATGGCCTAGTTTCATGCTTCTCCAGCTACAGAGCAGGAGGCCCCTCCCCAGGGTGGACTCTAGTGAGTTAGGGTTTAGGGTGAGATGTGATGGTCCCTGCTTCCTGAGACTACAGTAAGGATGGATGCCAGAACACAGGAGGAAAAGCTCTGTGCAGGAAATAAGCATGTTGGTGAGACAAAGCCACCGCTGAGACAAGCACCAAGTGCCTGCTACTGCAGGACACAGTTTTTAGCTCTATAGACATAAAGCAGACTCTATGAGACAACAGGCTGCGTCACTGAGCGCACTTTGGGGTTCTGGTGATTGTTCTAAAGTGGGAAGGCCTGTTCTGAACTGACTGATGCCGTGTCTTGGGTTTTAGAAGGATCTTGGGGGGAAAGGTCAAGAAGCCAAAGCTATAATCCCAGCATGAGGGAGTGAAGACTGTGAGGTGTGGACATTGTGCCAGGCTGGATCCTGATTGTATCTGAGGGGAGACTCCACAGAATTTGCTGGTGGGATGGTTGAGTCATGTATTACTGGGGTGAGGGCCCCAGGTCAGGTGTCTGAGTTCATTTATGGTTAGTGGGTTCTCGGTGTCCACTGTACAAGTGGAAGGGCTCCTGGGCAGTTGACTAGATGTGGAGATCTGCGGTTTCCTAATATCTCCAACTCGGAATCCACGTGGAGGCCAGAAGGATCCTTGCCAGTGCGGCACAGAGGAAGACAGGAGGTTGGTACTGTAGCTGGAAGGCAGTAAGCGAAGCGCTAGGGGCCGAGACCATAGAGGGCGCTCCTCCCTGCTCCTAGAGCGGCGCTAGTCCAGCCGCGGGAGGGGAACGGTGAGGCGGCCCGGGATCCTAGAGGGTCACTCAGGCGCTTGAGCGAGCTAGGATCATTGAGGGTCGCTCCGCCTCGTTCCTAGAGCGGCCACCGCGGTGGCGGGCAAACGTCCTGCACTTCCGGCGGGGTGCAAGGTCCGGCTAGGGCGGTGGCGGGAGAGGTGAGTGGGCGCGGCGTGCCGCGGTACCTGGGGGCTGCGGCTGCGGCAGAGCGGGAAGGCTGAGCTGGGGGGGGTCCTGTCGCGGGCGGCCAGGCGAGGCCTTAGTGGCGAACTGGGGCCAGAGGCGGAGGAAACGGGCGGTGGGATCCTGGGGCCTTTCCCACACGCGGGCCACGTCGCGTCCATTGTGCAGCGGCCCGCGCTAGGCCGGTTGTTCGATGGCGGCGGCCCTACCCAGCTCTCTGGAGGGTAGGCACCGCTTGATGGGGGATGGTGGGCCCTGGGGCGAGAGAGGGAGCCAGCGGTGCCAGAAAGGGAGCCGGCGCTGCACCGCGCATCTGGGCGGGCCTGGCCTCCCCGAGTCTCCCGCTGCATCTGACTGCTTTAGCTAAAAAAAAAAAAAAAAAAAAAAAAAAAAAAAAAAAAAAAGCTTTAAAAAGTACGTAATTACTGTGATAGGTAATTTTTGGACACCGTGTAAGTAACACAGTGTCTTCTGTGTAGCAGGTAGTCTGCAAATATTTGATGGAGTTAATGGATGAGTACTCTACATTTTTATAGTGTATGTAGTTTGCTCATACCCATACCGTAATTACAGTGAATTAATTGATTCAGTAAAAGTCCTGTGCACTGTAAAGCCTGGAGTCGCCATTATACAAAATGAAAGGCAAAACGTGTATTTTCATCTGTTTTATGTGCTTATTTGGAAAGAACACAGGGCAAATATTCCTATTTTTAAAATCTGCAACCTGAAGAAAATAGTTTCACTAATTTTATTTTTCAGTTCTGGCCTCTCCCACTCTGCTACCATCTATTTTAGGAATTCTTGGGATATTCAGTTTGTATGTTTGAGTAATTTTAAATAGCCTCGAGACAACCATAAGAGTAAATAAAATGAATTTATTTATGTTCTTAACACGAATATTTAAAAGATTCCATCCTATTTTTACATGAAAATTACTTTCAACCCTTTTTCTGTGTTTTAGTTACTACACTTTTCTCACTCAGTTTCATATTCTTAACTGAAAAGATCTGTTGTCATTTTCTCTCTTTCTTGGGTCATTAGAATCCAAAGTAATAGTAATGCATCTCTTTGCTGAGATTTTTCCTGTCGGTACTTTCAACTAGATTCAGAGTAAACTTAAAATTTACAAGTAGGTTTCCCTGTTCCCCTATTACTGGAAATTAAATGCAGAGCCTTTACACTGAGCTACATCTTCAGCCTTTTTTATTTTTTTATTTTGACACATTGTAGGCTGGTTGTGAACTCTGACGGTCCTGCCTCAGCTTCCCAAGTGTGGGGATTACATATATATCACTATGCAGTTTGGACTTATAGTGATCCTCCTGTCTCAGTCTCCCTAGTACTGGGATTATAGGCATATGCCACCACACCCGGTTTTGCACAGCTTGCCCTCGGTTCTGAGACTGGCATTCAGTACCAGGGATCAGACTGAGGAACTTAACACTTGCCAGGCAGCCACTTAGACTGCCAAGATATCTCCCTAGCCTGATATACTTAAAAAAAAAAATTTTTTTTTAACCTCATTTTTTTTGTCCTTCCCAATAGACAAAACTACAATGACAAATTTGGTCACAATGTGATGATATTAATTAAATTTAACCTCTGGAATTATTAGAATTACTCTTCAAGTATTTCCCCCCAGAATTTGTTTTCATTTGTGTTAAACACATAGTTGAGTATCAGTGTAGTTTTGGTGAGCTGAAGAGGTGTTAAAAGTGAATGCTGGGTCATCCATAATTTATTTTTTTCTTCCACAGAGAAAATACTGACCTTGCTAAGTCTAGGAAATGAGACTTTAGTTTAGAAAACAGTAGACTGTCTGACGAATACATTCGGCTTTTCATCATGAGGCTAACAAAACGTAAAGGGAGAATTTCTCGGGGCTCAAGCCAAGGAAAAGCCTATGAGAACAAGAGCAAGCGTAAAACAGTCCGACAGCGACAGAAATGGGGAGTGACCATTCGCTTCGACTCCGGTTTGAGCAGGCTGAGAAGAAGCTTGGATGAGAAACCCTACAAATGTGTTGAATGTGAAAAGAGTTTCAGTCAGAATTCCACTCTTTTTCAACACCAGAAGATCCATACTGGAAAGAAATCCCATAAATGTGCTGATTGTGGAAAAAGTTTCTTCCAGAGCTCTAATCTCATTCAGCATCGTCGCATTCATACTGGGGAAAAGCCCTATAAATGTGATGAGTGTGGAGAGAGATTTAAACAGAGTTCAAATCTCATTCAGCACCAGAGAATCCATACTGGAGAAAAGCCCTACCAGTGTGATGAGTGTGGTCGATGTTTCAGCCAGAGCTCCCACCTTATTCAGCATCAGAGAACCCACACTGGGGAGAAGCCCTACGAGTGCAGTGAGTGTGGCAAGTGCTTCAGCCAGAGCTCTCATCTGAGGCAGCATGTGAAGGTGCACAAGGAAGAGAAGCCCCAGAAACGCCGGGGCAAAACCATCAGGGCAAAACCTCGCCTAGTGACCTCCTGGAAAGCTGGGGCAGGAAGGAAGTCATCAGCTGGTCTCCGCCAAGGAAAGGGCACAGCTTCGGGCATTTTTAAAAAAAATAAAAAGTAAAGCTAAAATTTTTGTCTTACAACTGAGAATGCTTACTAGTAAAGGATTTAGATACTGAATCCTTCCCTAGCATAGAGACCTTGGGGATTTAATGACATTGGGTTGATGCTGTTTGGGTCCACCTGCTCTCATTTCTTTTTTATGTGACACGGAGCAGAAAGAACTGAGAGTATGCTTTTAGAACTGTGGACCCTTATTAATAGAGCACTTAGATATTGGATCCTCCCCTAGCATGGAGTTATTGAAAGTTTAATGTCATTGGGCTGATGCTACATGGGTCCAATCACATATTATTTTATGTGATATGGAGCACAAAGAACTGAGAATATGTTTTTAGAAGTAGGGCCAGTTAATAGTAGAATACTTAGATACCGTATCCCTCCCTACTGTGAAGACATTGAGGATTTAATGAGGGCTCACACTGTGGGAATCCAGCTGCCCCCTTTTGTTAAGTATGACCTGGATCACAAAGAATTGAGAACATGTTTTGAGAATAGAAGATCCTTGACCTCATTTGAAATTTCTGTATTATTTTGACAAAAAGCATCATGTTTCACAATAAACTGGTGAAAATGCAGGCATACCCATGATTACTCAGTTTTAGGACTTAAGTGCAAAGAACCATTCATTAAAGGGAAAAGGAAATAATTTCATTAGTTTTGAAGTTCTGCAACACATTTGAATCACTTATTGATGTGACTCAAGATCAAATGTAATAAAATGTATTCAAGTTCACAGATTATTAATCCCCATAACCTGTTTTAGTTTTCTTCTGTTCCCTCCCTTTTTGTTTTTGTCAGTTACTGAAGAAGAATGTCCCAGCTTTTCACCATGTTCTTCATCAGAGTTCCTGAAGAATCCAAAGTGAGGATTGAATTAGAACACAAGTGTAGTCATACAATGCTGTCAGTTGTCATGGTGTTATTACTGTATCACTTATTCATCATTCCCATGGCCTCTAGGTGTTTTCTTGTGCTCTAAAAAACTGAGCCAGCCTTTTGGATCTACATGAATAAATAAACCATGTCTTACCAACAAAATATTCTACAATTCAGACAATGTCTTCAAGACTGAGCTTAAGATCTATCTTAGACAAATGTTTGTCAGCAGCAGAAGTAGCTCCTTTAAAACCTTTTCTGTTTTACAAGAAATGGTTAAGGCTAGCAAACATGTTTCTTAATATTCATCAAGATGGTGCCAAGTGTCACATTTCTAATGAACTTTCAGCCCAGGTTTTCATTTCTATTGAATGTTAACATTCTGATTTTTTGGTATATTTTGTAATTATTTCCTGCTGTATTAGTTACAGTTATTCATAAAAATAAAGTATTTTGCATAGTACTACCTTTTTATTTTTCTTTTGGAAAAATGTTTTAATGATTGAGACAATAAGCCTGGATACCTTCTGGAAGAATCACTTGTGTTAGCTGTTTTGAGCTCCTGAAACTTGAAATTTGTGTGCCTCATGACCTTTGCTTGAATGCAGGGCTATAAAAGATGGCCTTGTAGTTAATAGTTTAAAAAATGTAAATATGAGGCAGTTGTGGTTCTCTTACAAAAGACTTGTTCTTTGAGTCCCCTGTTCATAATCACAAGTCACTATAGCAGAGGCATGGCTTTGGCCTTTCAGTGGGTTTACTATCATGTCTGGAATAATTTCTGGCCAGAACCAAGACCACTCTAAAGTTTTATTAATTGCCTATTTTGATGATAGCCACAAGATCCTGCGACAGATTGCTGTGTAGTTAGGTTTCATAGTTTATGTGTTTATCTTTCATGTATATTAAAGCAAGTACTACAGATTTTAATTTAGTCCTATTTTGACTTGGTTTGTGTATGTTACCTAGAACCTTAGCTCAGTGGATTAAGTGCCTGCTTAGGCAAGTGCAGGGACTGAGGTTTGATCCCTGGTACTGCATGCCATGCCAGCGCCTCCCCTAGTCGCACTGAGCTGGTAGCCAAGTCCAGGTGTGGTGGTGTGCACCAGTAATTCAGTGCTGGGGAGGCTGAAAACAGGATTACTGAGCTATGTAGTGAGACCCTGTACCAAATACATAAAATTTAAAAAAAAGTGACATTTGCTGTAGTCTTCTGTGGTAGCTAAATGCTACTGGAATGAACATTTAATGAGAGAGAGAAATCACAACAGTTTAATGCTCTAGAGCCAGGGAGATGGCTCAGTAGAATAAGCACTTCCCTGGCAAGTGCAACGGCCTGAGTTCAATCCCCTGTTCTGCCAACCCCCCCCCCCAAAAAAAATGAAATATAACTTAAAAAATTATTTACCAAAACCTTGAGTCTCTTGTTCAGAAATACACCGTTTTCCCCCCCCCAAAAAAAAAAAAAACCAAACAAAACAAAAAAGACAGATAAAATTAATGCTCTACTTTGCTAGTTTAATGCTGTGATACAGCTCTCAAAGGTACTACCTATGCATACAGTCTTAATGCATGGAAATATATGCTGCTCCCTCATTCTGTAGAAATTTAAAAAGGAATTTACCAAGCAGTCCCTTATTCTTTTGGCAGACTTTAAAGAAAAAAAAAAGTTTGCTGCCTTGTTTTCTATACCTATGATATTATCTTTTTAAAATTAGTACATGTGTGTAATTCACAGTTCATCATGCTGGGGAATGGTTACATATACATGATTACATATATTACAGCTTTTTCCTCATTTCCTTCTCTCCCCTCTGGGTTCATTATCACCTATAACATATTTGTTCATATTATCTTAAGAAGCTTCTGGTGTTTTATTTGAAGAACAAACCTCCAAAGTTGTTTAACTACTAAAAAATATCACACCCTATCAGTCAGATGTAGAAAATTAATTTAATCATTTAATAAGCTCAGAGTAGGAATAGTGCCCTTAGCTTCATAGAACTTAGTCAGATGAGCATAAAAGTGCTACAAGAGCCCACGAGGGCTTCTAATCCAGTGGTTTTCAACTGCAGTGTACTTTGTTGCTGGATTTATCCCCAGAATTGCTTATTCAGTCAGTCTGGGTTGTAGCTGGATACTTCTGTGTTTCTAGCAATATTGAGAGGCACTGCTGCAGTGGTACATTATGTGCTTACATTGTGTCTAAATCAGATATGGAATGCCAGTCTTGGACAAAAGTAGGCAGGAATTAATGGTGAACGTGTTGGTGTCAATCTGGAGTCTATCTTGGGTTTGTATCACACCATTGTTAGCTAGTAAGTAGGCAATTTGAGTTTTTGTTCTGGACCATAAACTGAAGATACCTGTGACTGGATTACACAAGAGCATAATATTTATGAATCATTGACTGTGGATTACCAGAGGCAAGGAATCCATCGAATCACCAAAATGATCAGTGCCACAAGTGTTACTTCCCTTATACTTAAAGGTGAGTTCTGTTTTACTTTGGCTGAGTCCAGATTGCTACCCTGGTATTCAAGGAAATTGAATTGTTATTAGAGGGCTCTCTATTTTATGAATTGGGAAGATAAATGACAATGTGAGCAGATGAATTAGAGATGGGGAAAAATGATGGTTTAGAGGACAAAGCATTATGGAGAAAAGTTAGGTTAAGTTATGAAACTAAAGTATATTCCAAGGCAAACAACTGAATAGAACTAACCAGATTAATGGCTTTCAGTTCCTTCATTTTTCTCTCTGGCCATCTGGTCTCCTAGCTCTGGTTTAGTTCATAACCTGTATTCAGTTTTGTCTATTAAAATACCTGTTCTGTTCTTTATCCTGGCTGGACCTTGATTAAAACACTAACAAGAAACTAAAATAAAAAGAGCTAAGCATTCCAAGGTGTAAAAATGACTACTGTGAGGCTGTGGAACTCTATTATGCACTCATGGTGGGATGCAGACACTCTTCTAAGAGGCACTTGGTGATATCTAACAGATTTATACATGGTCTACAAATTTTGTTTCTATCAACTTTTCCCATGACACAGCTCCAAAAGTATGATGTATATGTGTCTACATGGCAAGGAATTTTTTACAGAAGATACTTGTTTGTCTCTGCATTTGGCCACAGTGGATTTCCCTTCATGCTGTAACCACTGTCCTGCTGGAACTATTCTGGGACTTTGGTGTTTTCAGAGATCAGCTTGCCTCACCGCATGTAGGACCAGAGATATATTAGTAAGTGTTCTTGACAGCTTTAGCATGACCACTCACACAAACCTGCAGATGAAAATTCCATGCTGCATGGGAAACACCTCCAGCCAATGATAGCACTGAGCCTTGGAGATATTAGTGTCTTCCTTAACAGACCCCAGGCTTTTACAGTTTATATTGTTACCCAAAACTATCACTAGGTGGCAGCAAAGGCAATGTAATGGAAACCATCCTCTCCTGCTTTTCTTCTGAAAGCCGCAGGACAGTTCATTCAGTGGTAGACATCCTGCATACACGAAACCCTGCATAGATCCTCAGCACTGGGGAAACAGTAAAAAACTTGAAGCCCTTCAAGGTCAAGTGAGGTCCATGAAATTCCTTCAAAGGTGCAAATATAACTTTAAAGAGTTTTAGTCAAATGCCATTTCCATTCATTTTCATGGTAGCTTACATATTAATTGATTTACAAGGCACAGAGGCATAAATACATTCCTGTCTTATACTAGTATGAAAAGAATCAACTAAAAAAAGGAGGCCTCTGAGGGAGTGATGGGAGAAGGAAAGGCTGGATTTTGATCCCATCATGACCTTCAAAACGGGCTATGTATTGTCTTTTCTGGTGGTTGTCCAAGAACTGACAAGAAGTCTTTACCTACTGGCTGTGTTATCCTTTGTACTGTGCTCCTGTGCATTGACCGCCCCCCTCCATACATACACATGCTTCTAGACTCCAGTGGCACCTGTTTGCTTGAGGATAGGCTGTAGTCTGCATTGACAGGAACACCGCAAGATAGAAAGTAAGGCATGGAGAGTATGGTGAGGACAAGCTGCTAGGCTGGGAGTTGAGCAAGAGATCTGATACAATGTGCCCTAGTCACAACACTACTCTACAATCTAAAGGAAGGAGGGGTATATTTTGTTTCATGCTTTCAGGGGCATGGAGGAAGAAAGCTGCTCATGTCATGGTGGCTGGGGAGCAGGAACTGAAGGGATGAGCTACAGTAACCCACCCTTCCAGGTTGTGACCCCATTCACCCACCTCCAACTGGGCCACACCTTAGAGCAGTAAGTCAGCTATAGCACTGCTGTGATTCAGTCACCTTTCAAATATGTGAGGCTCTGTGGGACATTAAGATCCAGATTATAACAACAACCTCTGAAAATTATGACCTGAAATTCAGAAAAATGTCTCACCAATACAAAAAGAAAAAAAAAAAGCCCAAGTTCAGAGGACAAAAACAAAAAAAATGAGGTTAAAAAAATAAGTAGATTAGGGAAATTTTTAAAGAATATAAAATTGAAATTCAGACAATTGAAATCTACACCAACGGTATCAGGGACTGATGCAGATATTTAAGATCACAGTGTGGAGGGCAAAACCCCAAAGAAATATAATGAAAATGAGTGTGGACAGAGATCCAACTTATGGTTTTCTGTCTGACTAGCTAGCACATGCTGTGCTGGAATCAAGAGAAAGGACTTCCCCCAAGCCACAAACAATTGCCTGGGGTTTTCTAAAGTCAGCGGCTACATTATCTTTTGCTGCATAACAAGTCACTGCCTAGCACATTTATAACTTACCATTTCTATCAATTGAGACTGCATGTGTGTTGGAGAGAAAACATTCTCTCAGGCTTTCAAAGAGAGCAACTTGGTCAGGCAATGGCCATGACTCATCCACATGGCTGACACTGACAAAGGATCTACAAACTGTGGCCCAGGGTTTCAGGGTAAATCCTGAGCAGATTTGAATGACCTTGTCAGATACAAAAGTTACATTTCTTGTTATATAGGGCTTGCTTTATCTTGGTCTTATCCATCCAGCAGAAAAGTATAAAAACAAGGTATAAAATGTAAAGCCATATTAATATACTGAGCTGTAAAAAGCTCAAGTCAACAACTTCTGATGTTGCCAGTCCTATGGATAACCCACTACTATTATGGACTACTGGACTATATTTGATTATTTTTCTGAATTCACACACTTACAATATTTAAATGGCAATAGAATATCCATCTCTGACAAAACTAAACAAAAAAGAGGATACAAATGAAGGACCATTTTGTATCTGTACATACAAAATAGAATAGATATACAGTTACTTTCTCTTAATTCAATGAGAACAAAGATTTGTACTAATAGTGTTTGGACAGGATATCATGTCTGTGTCTTGTACTATGAATAAACACTATGAAGATAACAAAATGCAATGTATCAATTATTGAAACTGTCCAACTAATC